ACCGGCTCTGGCGAATCACACACACCGGCACGGGATCGTTAGGGTCGGAAGGGACCTCTGGAGACCACCCAGTCCAAACCCCCGTACAAATCACGGCCACCTGGAGCAGGTGGAATGGTGGTTTGGAATGTCTCCAGAGAGGAAAACAGCGCGACCTCGCTGGGCAAGCTGTTCGAGTGCTCTGCCACCACCAACATGAAGTTGTTCCTCATGTTGAGGTAAAACCGCGTGTGTTTTTGTTTATGGCCATTGCTTCTCATCCTGTCATATCATTAATGAGTTTCCCTTTCAGTCTTCTCTTCAGACTGAACAGGTCCAGCTCCCACAGTCTCTCCTTATGAGAGATGCTCCAGCCACCTTATCACCTTCATGGCCTCTGCTGGACCCTCTTCAATAGCCCCTTGTCTTTTTGTACTGAAGAGCCCAGAACTGGACGCAGCATTGCAGTTCTGGGCTCCTCAATTCAAATCAGCTAAAATTTGTGTTAAAGTTAGACATTTGGAAGGAAAAAAAAAATATCCCACAGTTTTCTTGACTGGCTTCACCCCAGATCCTGCTGTAGAAAGGGCTCGGGAAAGGCCTTTTGGGAAAGAAAAGAATCATGATGACAGCCCAAAACCTTCACTGGTGTCCAAGACCTGTCCTTTCTCCTCTGAACCAGCCATTCCTCTGTAGCAGACACAGTGATAGGAGCTGCCACAGCCCCTCCTCAGGTGAAGGTCACTGGCTGACTGAAACCTCTGAGGAGGTTTAACAATGCACCTTCTATGAGGTGTTAGAGGCTACACTCGGTGTTGCTCCATGTTCTGTGACTATGATACATTCAGGATTGTGAGCAGGACTCAGGTCTGGACAAAGGGGTTCCTCTGCTGGAATGCTGGAGTGGGGCCCAAGCAGTGTGGGTCACTGACCCTGATCTGCTCCAGCAGCTTGCACACGTGGCTGGGCTGTGCTGGGACAGATTTCTGCTCTCAGAGTGCCTCCAGTGCCTCAGCCTGCAGCAGCATCCCTATCCCTGTGCCACATGCCTGCTATTGATTAAACCAGGACGATCTGCTGACCTATACCAAATGGGAGCACTGAGAGTTAATAATGCCTGTGATGTGTTCTGACAGCCTGAGGTAAAGGGCCTCAAAGCTGGCATTGATCAAAACAAATCAAGGGAATGAGTTTTCCTCGTTCAGAGGTGCTGGCTTGGCCTTCACTGAAGCTCAGTGCTCGCCCTGCCTGCTGCTGTAAGTAGTGGGTCACATGTGTTAAGTGCTACTACAGCCAAAAGCAGAGTTTGGGACGAGAGAATCATGTGCTTTTTCTACAGAAAAATAAAGGGTTTTAGGCAGTCGTGGTTCAGACTTTGGAGCAGGGGCCTCGCTCACAAGGGGGCAGTATCCAACCATTTTGTTTCAGAAAACATCGATCCTCTGGTCCACAGCTGGGGAGAAATGGCAGGAAATTAAAATACTCAAAGAAAGTTTTATGGAATTCACTTCACCTCCAGTGTAGTCTCATTATTTTTGTTCACCCCGTTAATGTTTGAAAATACATTAAAAAAAACCAGGAATTATTATCACTTTAGTAAGTGGATTGATGATTTTTTCCCAGCATCATTGCTATTAAACCTCCTGCCCAAAATACAAGAAAACCAAAGGCAAACCCCCTGTTATCATAGAAACACTGTTACCCACTGCAACAGGAGTAGAAAGAAATGACTAGAGCATACTGAGAGGCCTTTGAATTAAAGAAACCTTGAGCATATTCAGATATAATTTTTTATGCTTTTCAAGGTGCATGCATGCCAAGTTGTTTCAGCTTTTCATGTTAGCCACTTCTGAGTTGAATCAGGCAGTGTTGAGCATATGCTCTTCACACAGATTTAGTTCAGACATGTAGGATCAAGGGCAGAATTAACTCTCCCCAGACACAAAACAAGTTTCTGTGAGATGTCCCTGCAGCATTATGGTGTTCTGCTAATAAGGAAAGGCCTTAAATGTGGCAAAGCAAAGTGAAACTAAATTGAACCAAATGAAAGGAAGGTGGTGTTGGTTTCTTCTGCTGTGTCTCAAGGGAAAGGATGAGAGGAAATGACCTTAAAACACTAAAGGAGGTTCAGATTGGAAAGTACAGCTGGTGCTGTGCCACGGTGTGACCATGTGATGCTGGGGTGTGCCCAGCCCCGGGGCTGCACCCCACAGCTCAGGGTAAAGCACAGTGCAGCTCCACAGGCTTTCCCATCAGGACCAGCTTCAGAAGAAAGTCCAGAGTCTGTGCTGTGCCACTGCACTTGTTCTTGCTCATTCTCACAGGCTTGATTGATCCTGGAGAGTGATAGAGACAAAGAGCAGCAGGGAGGAGTGGGTTGTGCTGATGGTGACAGAATCAGTGAGAGCAGCAGCCCCAGGTATTTCCCTCTGTCAGCACTCAGCAGGTGTGTCTGTGCTGCACTTCAAAACTTTGCCAGGGACAGGACAGAGATAATGGTTATCAAATGTGGTTTCTACTGTACCTGTGGCTCAGCTCATATGGCTTTCTACTCTTAATTTAATTACTTTCTGGTTAGCATTATGTTGATTAGATAATTAGTGATACACATTATATATATATAAATATATCTTAATTTCTTTTAAGAAAGCAAGTAGTAAGTCCTTTAGCAGCAAATACATTCTATTTATCTATTAGATAAACCTTGTGTTTCTGCAGTGAAAGCATGTACTTCCAAAACTGAGATGAAAAAAACTTCTTCCAAGATAGTTATCAGACTTAGCATCATATTTCCACTGAATTTTGTTAGTTGCAGCTTGTCATATTTGAAGTCATAAATGAATTTATACACGAGTTGTGGTTTGGTTTATTTCCAGGTGGAGATGTTTATTCAATATACTTTAAAGAGTGTGGTATTGACAGTGTAAAGGAGAGACCCTGTATCGGAAATGTACACAAATCCATTCAACAAGAAAAGGTGCTTTGTAGGTCATGAATTGATTTTGTCAGCAGGCAAACTTTCTCTTTTTGAATTTACTGTAAAGACAGCTTGCAATTCTGTACGTTGTTTCCTTTGTAGGAAATACATTTTATTACATTTACCAATGGCTTACTTAAATCCTCCCTCATGAAGATGACCAGGACCAAATACTTTTCCTACCAAACCTTTTAAAAATTTTGACTTTCCAAGCACATCTTCTTGTCTTTCCTGTTTTTCTGGCATAGTTTCCTTCATGTCTTACATTCCCAGATCAGCAGCCAGGGAGGGTGGGGACAAGAAGAGAGGTGTCAGGTAGATACTGTCTTTGGAAGTCATCACTTTGTGTCCTTTTCAGTGGGTGGGCTGGGAAATCGATTCTCTCAGAGGCTGCATTTTGTGGTGTGACCTAATGAATAATTTACAGAGTGGCAGTGAACTCTGCTGGGTCACTGGTTGAACTAAGCTGTCTCCACATCAGGTAGGACCTTTTGGTTTCTTACCATCTCTCTCTTCTAAAGATTATTCAAGAATTATTTTCAAAAATTTGTCTCAGAGTAGGACTAGTTCAGAATTTAATCAATGCCTTTTTATTTCTTCCTTCCTTCCTTCCTTAACATACATCTTCTGTTCCTAGTTTGTCCTTAACAAGTAATTGATTGCAAGTAAAAGAAATAAACAGCAGAAACAGATGAAGCTTCAAGTAGCACAAATTCTTGGCTTCATTCAAATGCTTCAGCACATATTGCCAAAAAACGTGAGGGTAGAAAAGAGAGAAATGTGGTAGCCTTAACTGCTTCAGAGTTTTTGTGATGAGTTATAAAGTCCTTGAAAGCTGAAAGGTTTTTTCAGTCTTCCTGATAACCTTTTTAAGAGGCACTGTAAACACAAAATAGTTGAACTGCTTGTATTATCTGTTCAAATTTAGAGTATGACTTTGCTGGCCACCTTTCTTCTCTTTTAGCTGTTTCCTGTTTCAGATATCGCCAGGCAGTTTCCTGATTCAGACATGAGTGGTGCTTCCTTTTTTCAAAATTCCTCTTTTTCATGTTTCTCAGCAAGACAGACTAATTTGACTGTGGAAAACAGCAAATTCCCATAAAAGAAAATCCCTCCTGCTATTCTGAAAATGCAAGCTCAAAAGAATTTTCTTCCACTCAATGTTTCACATGATCTGTGGGGTTTATGTTAATGTGCTAGCTCTCCTGTCTCCCTTTGTTTCGGCTTTTAAAAACCAGTCTTTGTCCAGGGTTATTAGAAGCAGGGAATGCCTTTTGTTGTTATGCCAGGCCTGGATTTAGGGGGGAAAGCTCTGGCTCCGTGCTGTGCACAGCAATGGGGATGGCCCTGCCACGCTGCTCCACGGGACTGCAGGGGAGCTCTGGCCATGAGCAAGCCTGCTCAGGTTTGTGCAGCCAGATCAGAGCTCGGCTGGGTGAGTCAGCCTGAACCAGCCAGTTCTCCTCAGCTGCTGCCATTCATGTGATGTTGCTCCTGGGCTAATGCACCCTGGTTCTACACTTTCCCATGGATGTGCCCTGGGAATCCAGGACCTGATAGATATTCTGAAGTCTTTTAAGATCCTGGTCCTAAATAAAAATAGTACTACACCAACACATTTGTAGCTCTGCATTAATATCAGGGCAGATAATAATAATATGTATTAATATCAGGGCAGACTTTTACCATCTAAATAAGGATAAGTCATATAGATAGTATATGAATTTATGCACTGTGGAGTTGGCAGCATTGTTAGTACATTAGTAAAAAAACTTGCAAAAATATCCATGCTTATAAAGACCATAAGTTGGGCTAACAGGTAAATTAAAGAGAGGAATGAACCAATATCTGTCAGGCTACAAAAGAAACTTCTCCTGGGGAAGAAAATACCCCATAACATATTACAAGATTTCAACTTTCTATTAACTTGGAAGCATGGATGGATATACACATGGATGTATGGATATACACAGTTTGGGTGTCTTAACCAACTTAACCTCTAGTTTTGTCTAACTTGCAGTTATTGCCATTCACCATTTTTACTTATGTAATGAAATATGTAGACAACAGCAAGGGTTACTTGCAGGCTTAGCTTTTATCACACAAGTAAACAGCTGTGGGCAGGCAGAAGCAAGTTTGCTCCTCCCATGCTTCGAGCCTGAAGAATATAATTCAGCTCCAAGTTAGAAGACTTTTAGAAGTGTTGTCATGGGATATTGCTCAATCTGGAAAGTCTTGGCACTAAATTATGCTGCTAAGCAG